CACTACGCATTCCTCTCCTTGCCTTCCCAAAATGAAAGCGTTAGTGAAGCGCTTAGTGTTTAAGTGAGCATTTCTTCACAGCACAAGGCAGAAATAATGACTATGCCTGTTGCTCATTTTTGCATACAAACAGATTAGTGACTCACTGCAGACTGCTGACTTCTGTGTGGTGGGATGTTTTGGCATGTATGCCACTCGAAAGAAGGGGGGGGAAAAAAAAGAAAGAAAAAAGTCACAGCTCCAGCAAACGTCGGAGCAGGCCATCTGCACAGATTCAGTATAGCTGTATTTTTCAGCCATTTTGTGACATTAATATTGTATATGCACACTCTCGGTTCAAAATGCTTGAGGCAGAGTTTGCCAATGTTATAGCTTGTTCAATCCTGTTGCCACTGAAGAAAGACCCCAATAAGTTGGACAATTTCAAAAGCTCTGGGGGAAAAAACATCGATCTCATTTAAGAAAGTACAATTTTTCCCTTATACATTTGGACTTGAAGCAGTTTTCCCATTACAGGGCTTTTCAGGTGTTTTTATATGAAAAGAACTGGCTGAAGTGAGGACTGGACATGACAAGCACAAGGCAAGGAGTCAGTGGGCACTGACTCACTTGTTTTTTGCTTAGGAGTAGGAAAACATCCTGGCAATTCTGGCTGTTTGGGTTGGGTAGCACATCAGGCCTCTTGTAGGTGAAGATTAATGACATTTGACAGAAGATCAATCTGGCACCATTTACTCCAAAATAAAACATATTAAAGCATACAGTCCTAGTTGGTAAGAGAAGAGAGGAACACCTCAAAAAGGACAAACACACACATTTCTCCATTTTTATTCACCTAATGTCCTCGGAAGTTTTACTATGCAGCACTTCATCCTATTTTCCACATTTTAAAAATAATTTAGTAGGCACTGATCTGTAGACTGAAAAAACTACATACTTATCTGAGAACTGAAAACACCTGGCAAGTTATGAACCTGCACACGCACATTCAGAAAAAGCAGGCAATGATTTTAAAGACTGTTAACTAAACCTACTCCTAGTGTTTATTATCTGTTGTTTGGAAACATCCAGAGGCCCCAATCATTAGTAGGCACTACTTGCACTGAACATCTGTTTATCCCAAGGAAAAATAATGCAACAGAAACAACTCCACACAATACGCTAACATAGAACACAGCAGAGCAAAGTTAATGTCTCCCACATCCGGACACACTTTCACCCATAAGATCGTACTGACCCTTCACAGTGCCTGCTCCTCACATTGCAATAGGATGTTACTTTTATTTAATTCTGAGGCTGTAAAAAACCACAACAATTCAAAAAACCCAGAGCCATTCCAAACTAATCATTTTGCATGATAAGGCCATTCTCGTTTCCTGCAATACCTGCAGGAGTCTAGTATGCAGACCCTAATGCTGAACACCTTCGGAGGTCAGTATTCTCTAACCATCTTTGGACTCGTCAGAGTTCCACGCAAGCCAACAGCATGACAAGGCTGAATGGCCTTGTCAGTACACCACAAATTAAACTGAGGATTTAGCTTAATGAATGGTTGGCTCGGCTGGAACAGTTTCCCTACTAAGCAAGTAAGCTTGCTTGTACGCAATTTGGTTCAGGTCATTCCAAATCCACTAACTGCGTCCTAATAAAATAAAACAAATGAAAACCAATCCCTTGCCATGGAATATTTACTTTTTAGACAACTTTGTTTTCCCAAAAGAAAAATGGTTTGTCAGGAAGTTTTTCAGCTACCTCTTGAGAGCTGAACTTCGCTCTCTAGGGAGCCGGAATGACTGACACAGGCTGACAGCCTGCCCAGCTGACTTCAGCGGATTCAACATTTGTTGAAATCAGGAACAGATATCGCTGGCTCCGTCTGGATTTAGTTCGGGGCTGTGGTTAGATGTTCACTACAGAAACAGCAGTGTCACTATCAGATATTCCTGCCCTGGGGCGGCTTGTTGCAACCCCACAGCTCAGTTGGTGGAAAAGTTCATGTGACTGTTTACCATCTGCTTCAGTGCAAAGTCAGCTGGCTTAATTTAAAGAGCCCTTATCGTCAGCTAGAGGCAAATACTCCATGTCCGCCTCCACAGAGCTGTGCCAAAACTACTTATACCAGGCTTGTAACTTGCCCGCAGTTATGTTTCTGACCTTCCCTTGAGACATGGCCAAACATATTCCAAAGCTTTTTAAGTGATGCAAAGAAGGATAAAAATTAAGCTCTCGCATATAATCCTAGCCAAAAGTAGAACACGTTTTTCTGGGCTACCTGACTTGGAGTAGCATTCTAGCGCACCATTCCCAAACTACGTAGAGCCTGCAAAGTTTTTTTAGACATACAGACACTTGAACACGTAAATACTGTAGTGAGAGATCCAAGGAGCTGCTGTTACAACTTCAACTGCCATATCATGGTACATAAGGAGATCTTGTTACCAACAGATGTTGCTTAATTAACTACTGCATTAACATACCGTAAAGCAGTTCATTCAGGCTCATTGAAGAAGTTCTGTCAAATACATACCATGAAAAAATGAAAGGCATTTGAAGTCAGAACTCACTTGGTATTAGCACAAGTCTAATTTTGCAAAAGTGTCTGTTCCACATCTAATTATATAAATACGAAAATCGATACCAAAATTGGCATGCACTGGAAAAGAACAGCTGCTCAATCCTGCATACTGTAATGTGATTATTCGTGAAGCATTCAAAAGGCATAGATCTAATCCAGGGTCACCTGGCTAAAATAGCTGCATTAGAACTGAAAATATGTCAGTCAGTGAAATCACTACAGTTGCAGAAAAGGAAACCAGCTTCACACTGTGAACTACACATACTGAGGATTCTTTTGTGCATCCTCTTGCCTTGTAGAACTACTGGTACACCAGTCTGTACTGTAAGTACACATGTGTATTTCTGCTACAGTCTAAAAGTAGTTTTCTACTACATTTTCACTTGTCTACCACCTCTGTGTCACAGGTTGTCTGTATATAAAACAGTCAAACGTGTCATGAGTATCTCCCTCCAAAGATACAATGGACCTGAGTGTGGAGTTGGTCCTGTCCTCTCATCATGTTTTATTGTGTCTGGACATTTTTCTTCTCCAAATTTATGACAGATAGTTAAAATTTGGGTGAAAAAAAAAAATCCAAATGTTTTATTCAGACATCTCTAGAACCTTATGCTTTACCTCACAGAACATAAAATTACAGTAAAATGCAAACTGGCATAAAACTACTTTTTGAAAAATGTCAAAATATAAGCTTTTGACTGTCTGCCATTTTTTCCCATTTTCTCCTGGGAAAACTTGTCAGATTTACTTACCTCACAAATATTCCTATCTTTAATAAATTTGCTTGCTATAAGGAATGTATTTCATGTACGAACTCTAACCAGCTCTACTCAGCATGAAAAGCAGGAAATGAGCACAGCTTGGAAATTAACCCAGGTGAGAACCAACCACTTCACATTTTTCACATAGAACAGGAAAAAGTAAGAACATACAAACTCCTTAGCTTGTTGTAGCATTGTTGCTGTTTAAGAATGTATTTCACATGATAATTTACCTTTGTTGGATTTTGGTTGTTCAGATGAGCCGCTTCCAACCTTTCTCTTTTTCCTTGGAACAGCTGAATTTTTCCTGTCAAAGGTAACAGGCCTGTACTGAGGGAGGCTGTTGAATTTCTTTTCAAATTCCTCTTCCAACTTTGCTAAGCTAAAGGGGAAACAAAACCAATCAAATTAAATGTAACTCTGTTTCTGGAGAAAATTATAGACTGTTCAGCAGTGTATATACATATCTATCTACACTGAGAAAAGGGGAGATAAATGCACACACACTGTGAACATCAGACTAGTATATATTCATCCAATTCCAGGACACGAATGTAGACTCCAGCTTCTGCATTTCTAACTCAGTACAAATTGATTACATTAGAGGCATATATTAAAATTAGAAAAAAATAATAACATACTGGGGACATTTAGCTCTATTTGCTGCACAGAACTGTGAAGATTTGCCTGTTCTTGAAGGGAATGAAAAAAAGATAATAAAACCAATAAATAAAACAACTTCACATAAAAGTTCTTACACAAGAATGAAAACAACCACAATTTGAATCAGAAGAAAAATGGTAAACTATTCAATCTTCCGGGGCTATTCTAAAACCTGATGCTTTTGGGTGGTCAATAGCTTTGTGTTTGTTTTGGGCAATTATATTTTCTTCCCTCATGTTTTACTTGTTGCGAGATGGAAAATGAAACTATCTCGTTCATGCTGCACAAAACCCCAAATCCCTCACACCTCAAGCTCAACCTGAACGACTGTAACTAAACTACCTACTGCTCAAGAAAGCCACAGACACGGTGTTACTGTTCCTAACAGCCAGACGAAAACAAACCACTCAAACAGGATGGTAAGGCACGGCATTTCTGGCTGTGATGACTACACTGGCTTGCAAAAGCACTCCATTCCAGCAAATTTTTGCAGCCAGGCAGAAGCATAGGCAGGAATTGTGCTTTAATACAAGGCAGTGCACACAGCTAGGCAGGTTATAAATAGCACCATGGAAGACAAGGGAACAACGATGTTTCTGCTCATCTTTATTTCTGTTTATTAAAGAAAGCCTGATCTTGACAAAAGTTGGTATGACTGTCAAAGGGATGACCCTCACCCTCCCTACTCTTGAAAGCACCACAAGAAGCATGGCATCTCGCTCTGAAGCAGCACCTCAAACAAATTGCATTCGAATGCTTTGGTACACAGAAGGATACTTCAATAATCTCTATAATTTTTACCTCTTCTGGAAAGCAATCTTCTCTCTTGATACACAGCCCTGGCTCTCAACAGGCTGCATGCACGGTGGGGTTGCTTTGTTTTTTGAGGTTTTTTTTTGGTTGGGTTTTTTTGGGTTTTGTTTGGGGGGGTGTGTGTGCACACATACTTTATTTTGCTTTTGAATCACAGAGACATCCGACATTAGCCGCGCTTGGTACTTCCACCTTTCTCTTCCACAAGGATATTCCGTGACAACCACAACAAAACAAGCCGATCTTCTGCTCTGACAGCTGTCACACAACTCCATCCTCTGCCCCAGCTCCTCTACCGCTGCCTGTCGCCACCTGCCCCAAGGGGCTGCAGCTCTAATGAGGAAGGCCCAACCCTGAAAGCTGCTGAGCTGTCATCCCAGCTTCAGAGCTTGTACAACACAGATGCAGCGGAGAGTGCTGCTATCGCTATGTCAGTGATTGATTATTAAAAACAATTAAAAAAAAATCATTCATGTTGCATGAATTTTCAGAGCACCTCACAAGCCTGATGAGACACACGCAGCCGTGCTGAGGTCTTTGTGCCGTACAGTCTAGTTCTGCCAGGAGACACACGCCGGCAGGGCGCGGCACTGCTCGGCAAGCAAGTGGGCTGCCCGTGGACAAAACATGCCTGGCAGGGACCGTGGGGGAAGTCTGGGCACTTATTGATGGTGAAGGTAAGAGGACACGGTGAAAAAAGACATAATTCCAAAGGGGTGAAGACTCTCCCCACTACGAACACAAAAAACGAGACTGAAAGGTGATGGTGAACGATGCTGAAAGAGTTGAGGAGCAGGCGCAGGTAAAACCAGCTCTTCAAGCAACCAGATCAGGCAGTGCAATGAACAAATTACCGATTCTACCTTTTCACAGAGTTCACTAAATAATATTCATTACATGACTGAATCAAGCAACAGGAAATGGTCTCAAGTTGCACCAGGGAAGTTTAGATTGGATATTAGGAAAAATTTCTTCACCAAAAGGGTTGTTAAGCACTGGAAGAGGCGCCTAGGGAAGTGGCTCAGTCACCACCTCTGGAGGTATTTAAAAATCACATAGATGCAGTGCTTAGGGATGTGGTTTAGTGGTGAGTCTTGTTTAGCACCTTGGCAGTGCTATGTTAACAGTTGGACTTCATGATCTTAAAGCGCTTTTCCAACCTAGACACTTGTACAGTTCTAGACTGGCAAGTATATATTTTCATGATCCAGCCAGTTAATGCTCATAGAAGAGTATTTGTTGAATGAATTACTTATTTACACAATTTTCCTAGCTACTTTGAATAAGTATTTGTAACTATGTTTTTTTTGGCAAGGAGATGCATCCAGTTTTCACATCACTAGGAGTTAGAAGTTTTCAATGTTTTAATTTAAATTTAAAACTTATACACAATGCACTAAAAATACACAAAGTGTTCCATTAATTTTTCTTGACTATTCCAAGGAAACAAAACATGGAGCTTTTAATCAGTTTAGTACCTTTGCTGCAAAGTGAGCTGTAGCTAAATCTCACATAGGCTAAGTTACAAAAAAGGCTACTGCAAGCCAGCACAAAAGAAACATGCTACAATTTTAAGCATGAAGTGTGGAAAATCTACCCCTTTTTAATTCATTTTCACCCTCTGAATTCAGATAATTGGAAGTCTTCAAGAATTTACAAGTAAGTATGAATGGCTAAGTAGATTTAACAACTATGCCTGCAATTAAATCAACCTGTAATACTTTGATAAAAATTGTTTATAATATACTAGAAAAGTAATTCTGTGTAGCCTTGCTAAATTTTAATGCATTTGTAATCATTAATTATTCTCCTGATATATTTAATTTCTTTACGGTGTACACCAGCAGTTTAAGTATCTTGTTTCTACAATGGAAAACCTATACATTTATCATAGTTATTTGCCAATATTAAACATTGTTTGCTTTTCCTCTGTAACAATCTCTCCAAGCAGCAAAGAGATCAGGTTCCTTCTAGTCTAATTCTTTTATGATGATTGAACACCTCCACAAAACTTTAAATACTGCCTGTGAAGTGCTCTGAAAATAAAAGTAACTCTCTCCATCACCTCTTGAGTGGGTAGATACTGCATGTGTTTTTAGAAGTGAGCAAATAATGTAAGTCACATCTGTTTACAGTAGTGTACACTAGGAGAAAGTTCAAAGGAATCACTTTGGTATATAAACAACAGGTATCTAGAAAATTACTCAGCTCAGAGGGATTTGTAATTTTCTGGAATTCTGACTAATTGTGATTAATTGGGTGTTGGATGCAGTTCTCTTACCTACAATAAGGAGGACTCACTCTCCAGTTACCAGGCTAACCTAACTAAAACTTTGAACAGCGTTAAGCTGCTACTTACCCGAAAACAAACTCTTCCTTTGGCTTAGGCCTTTTCAGTTTTTTGTTCCCACTTGTTCCACTTTGCAAAAAAGCCCAGTTGTCTTCATTCCAGCATCCTTCATGATCTGACGAGTTGCCTTTTCCTGAGCTTCTTTTACCTGGGATGAAGGTAGAAAATTGTTTCTCATCTTTAGAAAAATGTGCCAAAACAAAGTGGGCTCAGAAGGAACCTGTGTAATCATTCAGTACTTCAGCTTAGGATGTCTCACCTTCTCCAAGGGATTACAAAACACTGATTTATTTATTTTAAACTGAATAACAATGATATTGGAAACTATTTCCTTCTCTCCTCCCCCCTCATTTTTTATACTACCTCTAAAGTCAGTGTATCGTGAGGCATAAAGGAGGATATGAGTAGATTTACACTAATAAAATTCTCTAAATTACAGACTTTTTTTCTTTTCTGACTGTTCTCATTTTGCATATAAATCTACCGATCAGAAAAATACATTTCAAGACATCTCACGGTAAACTTCCAGAAATTGTCTCAAATTTATCCTTCCACAAGGTAAAGGGCTCTCGCTCACCACCCACCAGCAAACTAAGAACCAAAGCAAAAGCACAACACATTTGCCTCTTGTAGGACTGAGAACTATGCTCACAACCACAAGAGCTGTTTATATAGAAATAATCTAATTGTTCTGGCTTACATACAACACAAGTGCTGCACACATCTACCAGCCTTTGGTCAGAAAGCTAAACCTCAGATGATGAAAAACAAAAAGGGAGAGGCTAAGAGCTTGTGAGGTAAGTAGGAAAACAGATGGCAGGACTCCAAAAGACCTGCCCTGGACCCACAGAATCCATCCCCTTCACCTGCCCCCAGCATCTCAAAGAAGACTAGACACAGCACTCCTTCATGCACTGCTCAAATTCCAGCTTAAACATGGACTTTTGTCTTTCCTCCCACTCCAGGTAGGCTTTTGCGGTTCACGCCGTAAATGAAACACTCAAAGCCACCCACCTCTGTCCACATTAGCACGCAGAGATGTGAGCATGCCCTCTGAGACCAGAGTTTTATATAGAGCACCTTTGCAAGATCGCTCTGATTTCCTGGAGCCACAGGTTTCTATTTTTTTAACACAGTCATTGTCCTCAGTTTTGACCTGTCCTGGTAAGCTTTGGGGTACCACCTCCTCTGTTGGGGTCAGTGGTTCCACTTTAATGCTATCAGGAGCCTCACACGGTACTTCCTTGCTGGCAGCAATACTAAGGAAATCGGGAGGCTTTGATTCTTTGGCAGTCTCCGTGGGTTTCTCCTTTGATGTCTTCTTCTCTTTCGATTTTACTTTTTTCTTTGGTGATTTTGTATCCAACACGCTTCCCTTCACATTTGAGACAGGGCGGGGTTTTTTGCGGGGAGTTTCTGTGAGTCTCTCGGCACCCCAGTCCCCCTTTGCAACAGCTTCAATTGTGTACATTACACTCTCAATGTCCGACTCAGAGGACTGCCTCTTTTTACAAGGTTTCTTGGGGGTGGATTTTTCGTTTGTGTGCCGGTCTAACTTATTTTTTTTCTTTTTCTTCTTTATCTTTTCTGGTTTTAGCCCAGGGATATTCAGGTCAGCCATTAAAAGCTCTGGAGAACAGCACATGTGATCCTTTGCGTTATCATTGCTCTCAAAAGGTCTGTTCTCCATTGCAAGACTAGTAAAATCTCTGCATTGTGCAGTTTCTGATTCCTCAGCTTTTGTCTTATCCCAGTTTTGCATTTTCTCTATCTCTGATTGTTCTACTTTTCCTTTACAGGAGGAGTCTTTTACTGTTTTCTCCAGTTCTTCTGCTTCCACTTCCTCTGGAACTTCCCCTCCCAGATCTTCTGATGCTTCCACTTTTGTTTTCCCAGGTTCTTTGACTTTTACTCCTTCTGACGCAAGGCACATCTAAAATGAATTTAGAAACAGTCCCATGAAACAAGCACCAATGGTTAACATGACCTACGTATATTAACAGGAGTATTACAAGGGGAATCTCTCTGGCATCTTAGCTCAGAAAAGCAAACTATGCTAAAGGATAGTACTGAAAAACATGCTGAAGCCCTCCTGAAACTGATGTGATGATGGCTACAGTGCTAGAATAAGGGTGGCGAGTAAGAAAAAGATTCCAACTGATTGTGTTTACACAATCCTCTAAGTGCCTTTTATATAACCTGGAAACTCACTGCTAGACTGATGTTCAGAATACCCTAAATCCAATGGAACAATAGAGTATCTCTCACTACTGCCAGAGACAAGTTACTTGAAACCTCACATTTGTACCCTCTTCAACTCCCGAATCTCCCTATACACAATTCTTTCCTCCCTTTTCCAAATGGTCCTGAAGGAGAGGGGAAGAAGTTAATTGAACCTCAGTAACGGAGATGATTTTCTTTTATTTGAATGTGCAAAATAATTTCAAAGGTAGTAAAAAACCCTTCCAAATCTTTCTTCTTACGTCACAGATTTATTCTGTGAAGAACTGCAAAGCAGCAGTGGTTGCCGTGGTTATCTCCTCCTGGAGATAGCATTAATGGAAACCAAAACCCTCACACTGTGTGAGCAACAGTGATATTCAAAAGAAGACCTGTAAAAAGGTCCTCAAACTGCCATGTTCCTGCAGCACCGACCTGGGAGATCCTCTCAGTTTTAGATCACCTGCAAGCATGCTGACACTGCTACAGAGCATAGTCCTTCACAGCACCAACCAGTTGCACTCGGAAAGATGTGCTTTCTTCTTTGTCCTCTCTCTCTCAAAGCTCCTAAGCTGAACTCCCAGTGCTATTTTGTTTTTAAAACAACCAACTGTCAACCAGAAAGCCACCTGGAGTAAAACCAGATGGAAGAGGCTTGCTTTGAACCTGACATCAGCAGTCTCCCTATCCCACAGCTCAGCCCACGGGCCATGTGGTCAGCGCGGATGTAGCCTCCAGATCATCAGGTTCTTTCTAGGTCAGTTTTAGACTTCTCAAACAGCAAGGCATTTTTTACTTGCAAACTAAAATTGCTTGTTCATAATACTAATGATAGAAGGCTTCAAAACTCTTAGTTACAGAAGTTTTCAAAATTCTTGCTACACAGAGTAGAAACTCCTGATCTGGTTCAGGTCAAGCTACACTGAGCACTGGAAACACTGGAGCTTGAGCAGCACAGTGTCTACTGCTAAGCAAGATAAATTGTGCAGAGGAGAACCTCACAATTATGCTGAGGTGGGTTCCTCACACTAAGGTACATCTGTGACTTTTTTACTGCACTGCAATGTAAAAACAGCTTGTGATTTTCAAAACCTAAAGATCAATCTTTAAAATGCAACTCATTGGACAGTAATGATATTTTGTCAATTCAACACACACAGCCCTAACCAATGTTTGTTTGGTTCTTTTTTCCTTTATATCTTTGCTGCTTCTGCAGCAGTCAATAGTAGCAAAGGCTATGGATATGGCTAAAAAAAAAAGACTTCTATTTTATGAGCTCTAAATAAATTTATAATTCAGTCTTTAAGACTGGGAAATCTTTAAAAAAAAAAAAGCAAAAAGGCTTAGGAAAAAAAGAAATAAAAAATTTCAGTAAGAGGCTGCTGGTTTTAACTGTTGCCAGAAGGAGGATCTTCCAAGAGCATCACAGCCGACTTTCTACAGATGTTATTGACCTGTTTATTCCCCATTTCATAAAATGGTGGGCATGAAAAGCAAAAATAAAAGAACTAATGACCGACCTTTAACAGGAATTTGTAATGGCAATGCCCTAATCTGAGCAACTGACTAATCCAGCCCTCTCAACATCTTGTACTCCCAAATCAAACCAGTCAGTCCAACACCCAAACCGAAGAAGCGGAACAATTTCACTGGTGATTGGTACCAGGGACCAACACTTCTCAGCTGCAGCACAGACTCGTAGAAACCTCCAACCTGATGGCTAGTCTGGAGAAATCATGACTTGTGGCGCCCAAGCTACAATACTTCATGCTTCTATAAGCAACAGTGTTAATTGTAATTGTAGCACTGTTCTGCCTTCTAGACTTCCGCAATCAACATCATGAACTTGTCCGCCCCACTGCACCTGCAGTAATTAGTCATCAGTGTTTTAATATTACCTCAGCCAGCTGAAATAATGCTGATGTTCCACACTGCTTTGTTAAATCAGAAGGACCTGAATGGGATGTACTTGAAGAAATCTAAAGAGAAAACAGAGGGGGAGAAAAAAAGCCAAAACATTCTTTTATCAGCACAATTCTTTCATTTTACCACACAACTTTAGAAAGCACCATTTCCTCCCTCTTCCCAAAATTCATTCATAAGATTATATATTGAAAAAGAAGTGCAGACCTGTGCATGTTGTTGCAAATAAAACCGTGCTCCACACCATTGCTCCAGTGGATAAGACCACTGGATATTAAAACCTATTTGCAGGTTTGGGATGTTCTTGTCAGGACTCCCTTTGAAGAGTAGGACAGACAGAAGCACGTGCTCTCTCACACACCAACAAACTCCAGCAGCTGAGCACCAGTCTACACCAGCACGCAACCCAGCCAGTGGTGGGTTTGAAGGCTTGATCAGACATTTAATTGCAAAATCATTTCACTATCATAGCTTAAGTAAGTTTCTTCTGTCAGGCTATGGCACTGCCTTTTGGTGTCGTATAAGACTCATATAAAAGAGATGCTATGAAATCAAGTGAAGTAGGAACCCTCAAGCTTCTGGTAACCTTTACTACTCCTCAGCATACAAGAGTCTGTCTGACAAGTAGGTAGCTGACTATTCAACAGAATCTTTTTTTCCTCTATGAGGCCATGATCCTACTCTGGAGTGCTTTGGATCAGTTCTGAGCTAGGTGCAAAGAAATTATCTTTTTTTTTTCTGTACAAAATAAAAGCATCAGTCTTAGAATTGGAGTTAGTATGAAGAAGAAAACATTGTTTTTAATAACATCTCATAATCTCTGACCAGACTTGCAAGTTTCTTACACTTGCTTCCTTAGAATGAGATAGAGTTCTAGGGACTGGGGAACTCACATGTTTACAACCTAGCTCTCCCTGCTCCCCTAAACTCAGTTTTCATTGCTCTTAACCAACATGGGCCCACAAAGTTGATTTTGCAGAAATCAGCTAATTGCTGCCATAAAGGAAATAAACAAAAAAGGTTAATGATACCGTCTTTGTGCCTCCTGGAAATCGCAGCTCTTTATAGCATCTCCCAAGCTCTGACCATTGTAACTCAAGTCTCCAAAAGTCAACTAACAGCCAGGTGTTGCTATTGCTGCTAGCCCTCTGTGGCAGAAGTGGCCTCCCTGGCCTTGTGGGGGGTGACACCCCCTTTTCCACCCACCTTCCTTCACTCTCACGTCTCTGCACCAATGGCTAAACACAAAGTGGACATTTAGACACAGCAAGGGTCTCAGAGCTGATTAGCAACAGCCTCCCAGGTTTCAGACCACTGAGCAGCTGCTTCAGTCATTTTTAGAAACTCAGAAATTCTCAGGATTTTTTTAGAAAATAATTTAACCCACTTCTGCATTTTATTTTATCGCCATCTGTGAAATACTGTGAAATATCAAAAAGGAAGGCACGAGGAGCAGGGAAGTGGGGGGAGAAGACAAAGTTGGTTAACCCACATAGAGAGGTAAAGGAGGAGCAGGGCGGTGTGGTGTGCCAAAGCAGGCAGGCGCCCCCGCCCCACACAC